GCTCAAAAGTGTGCGGTCGCAAATCATACATACCTTTCATTCATTATTCATCCGTATCTGTGGCGGATTTTCTCTGAGCCTTTTTTGCATGCATCAAAATTAAAATCACACACACTTAATATATAAATATTTACACATTCCACCTTTTCAAAATGACCAAATATTTTTACATTTTTAAACACATACACACAGAGAAGCGTGCGAAAATCCTCCTTACTTTTGTAGATATAAATAAATAAAAATTTTATTTAATTAAAACACATACCAAAGCCGCTAAAATCCAACAAAATCCCCAACACGCTGGTATTTTTATATTTGTTTTGAATAGCGCGCTGTCACATATGTACAAACGTAGGTACATATAAATAAATGTGGTATTATAAAAATTTGTTCGCATTTTGCTGTTGAATTCTTTTAATTGAATATCAAATTTCAGTTCCTTTTCGCAGCGAAACAAATTTACAATGCAACACGGTAGTAGCGTTCAGGGAGCGATGAGTAGCGAGAAGTGTGGGCGCGCGGGGGAGAGCATAGTTTTTTTTTTTTGCTCGAAAGTGATTGTGGCTATGGTGACTATGGCGGTGGTGGTAACGCGCGAAAACATGACTGACCGCTAGCTAACACTTCCATGGCAATGAAAACGAGGTTAATTCTTTGTTGTATGCACGTTAAATACCCGCACACACGTCCTTCGCACATGCAGCTCATTACCGAGCTCGCACAGTATTGGCCTCCAACTCAGCAATTCGTTGCTTTGTTGATTAATGAGCAACTAATTATTATCCTGGTGTGCATTTGCAGACACACAAGCTTTGAAAAACTAGCAATGACAACAAAATGGTACCAAGTAAAGTTTTAAACATATCATGGGCCATACGCTTAGAGCTACAAGCGTACGTAAAAAATAACAGTCATAAATTTGCAATACTCATAACTTTTCCAAACAAACACACCACACTACAGAGGCTCACTAAGGCTGAACGCTCATACCCAAACGTGGCGTAGAAGCTCGAACCACCCGCTGCCAGTGCACGCGTCATAGGCGTTATGTCGCTTCGGTGGCAACTCGCCGTTGGTGTAATAGTTGTTGTGTGTGGGGACTTTAGGTATATATATATACTTGCCTGCATTCATATAAAAGGAAATAATTTTATTTCAATTTCCTTGGCTTTGCCACCATTTTGTGCGCCAAACTTACCCCCAAAATACGAACGAGCAGCAAAACACGAACACCCATCCCCACGCGTGGCATTAATTTCAATGTGCGCACTTCTACGAGTATTTCTCGTTCAAATGGATTTTATTAGTGACTGAGTGGCTGCAGGCAGGCGGTCGTACTCATTACTAATTACATAATTACACGACAGCAAATGCTGAGTAAGTAGTGCAAAAGTTGGTAATATAATTTCCCTTCGCATAGCGCACCAACCGCCAATCATTTCATATTTCAGTCACTTTCGAGTGCATTTCATGGTAAAAACTGGGGTATGCGAGCCGGCAACGCTGCGTTTCAAGTGCGAAATGTTCGTGTGAGGCATGTAAAAATGAGTTGAAAGTGAATTTATTTTATTTTTTTCACTCTTTTAAAAAGACCATTTATTAAACTTAAGTTTACACGCGCGCCTAAAATATCTTTGAAGTTCTCAAGTGTTCCAAAGAATCCTGCACATTTAACATTTATTGTTACTCACTGGAAAATATGTATAATTGAAGGATGCCTTTCCTCAAACGGAGTTGTTGAGCAAAGCCCTCTCCTCTGTTTTAATAAGCTCAAGCCGCTATTAATAGGGAAGTCATCTCTATGTACACTGGTAGGTCCAAGTTAGACTGCGATCTATTCTGAAGAGCTTGGTGTCGATCGGTTCCTGCGGCTGGCAACGATGAAGTTCTGGGCATATTTGAGGCCTGTAGGATACTAAATAATATTGGCGCCACTCCTAGCTAAATCATCTACTAAAACCACACTTCAGGCAAACGATGGCAATATAGCCCACCGTGTCAGCTGATAGAAGAAGTGGTGCCACTACCACACAATTTCCAGTTGGATTTTAGAAAGCGTAAATTGAATTTTAGAAAACGTAAATTAGATTTTAGAAAACGTCAAGTGGATTTTAGAATGGTTTAACTGGATTTTAGAGTAGTCAAATGGATTTTAGAAAGCGCCAATTGGATTTTTGAATGATTCGTACACCATACATAGACTTTATACTAATAAACTTTAAATATTGTTTAATACTTTTTATTAGGTTTTAGCAATATAATATGCATTAAATTTGAACAAGCGACAAAAGTCTCTGTATAGCGCCAATCGGTCTCTTCCAATGAACACCTCATGTTAAAGTTGCAGTTCGTTTTCATACCAAACCCGGTATGTTCGCGTTGTGACCGATAGGAGATATGTCAAGTACCGGTACTTTAACCTGCAGGTCAAGTCTAAGCTAGTCAAGTAATGCCAAGTTGAAGCTACGCTCGGTGACTTAGCCAAATAGAAGACAACGATAGAGCAGATGAATTGGTCAAGGCATAAACTTGCTTGGATGAATCTCTAGCGGTGTTACTGAGATACCCTCTCGGACAAATTCAACCAGAAATCCATTTCCAAATTCGAGAGAAAAGATGACTTGATCAGAGTTCCAAACATGTAAGGTAGCACGTGAGATTTCGCCTGACTATAGCAGGAAAAGAAAGGCCCTGCTGCTATTTAATATTGTACCGACCATTACCGGTCATTGGCATGCGAGCTTTCGCCTGACTATAGCAGGAAAAGAACGGCCGAGCTGCTATTTAGTATTTTACCGACTATTACCAGTCATTGGCTGCTAGGAAGGCAATCTTATAGAACAGGACTTCCATATAACAGAATATGCAGCAGCTCCAGCTTAAATGGCAGCGGGGTAGAGTATTGTATTTCCTAAGCGGATGCCCAGGTCCAACTTCTTTAATACATACAACTTTTGGGAAAGCAGTTAGTGGATAAGCGTTATGCACACATTCATAAGCTATTCAAAATGGTTTGTTTAAGCTGCAAACATGTTTGGCAGATAGGCTATGATACTAGAATGAAAGATCACATTTCACGAGAACTGCAGCAAAATGCCCCTAATTGAGTCCTGAGTGGAAACTTTGGAAGCACTACAACAAACCAACTTCGTTATTTGCATACGCATCTGCAGTCTTATTATAACTAACGTTCTATTCCACTAGTGACTTATCTCTATTCCCGAAAAACTTAACAGATTTAAACCAAAACTCACGAAAGTGGGGCAGATGAGTCAAAGATGCTGAGGTAGTTCTAAAGCATCATCCTGCTGCTGCTGCTGTTGTAGAGGCTTAAGGTAATAAAGAACTTTGCCAATTGCACAATGGCGGATTAGATTACCCACCAGCAATGAGACATGTAACTTTTTCCGTGACAGTCCGTGCCCAAACGGAGCTAGCCGTCTTGCATTCCAGCGTTTTCTACGCTGAAAAAAGCCCTTCTATCCAGATGCAGACCACACGTAGCCAATAGAACCGTCACCCTTTTTTACGCGGCGACAATGGCTGAAGGGTATCCAACTGGCTAGCTCATTGGCCGTGGAGTTACGTGCGATATAGCTGGGCCATCGGACCCAAGGAAGCTTGATAGAGAAGTGACCTGCTGCGATTGAGTGAAAATTTGGTATTCCTCCACACCTTTTTAACTTATCATGAAAGCGCAAATGGCTCTGATTATTGCCTGGCTATATCCGCTTGGAAAACACTGCAGTGATCCCATAGCCAAAATTTGAAACTGATGCAGCTTCGACCCAGCCGTGAATAACTTCACATGACTGTGGTTTCGAATGTTACACTCCGCCCAACCCTTCTCGGATGATACCGCAGCGACAGCTTTTCTGCTATACCTACGGGCATAATGTTTAGCATTACCTTATAAGAGTAGCGGGGTACGAAGTGCTTTGCACTCTGCAGCGACTTAAACGATGGTGGCTTTATCTAGTTCGCTGCACCCTGCAAGGACACTACACTATAAAAAAAATTGGTTTCATTATGGTATCAGATAGCCAGTAAGTCACCCTCAGTGAGAGGCCCTACCGCTTTCCAATGGCACTTCTATAACAATACTCCTTGCTTGATTATCGGCTTTCAGGAAAGCTTACTGTCACCTATGGCTTTTTGCAGGAGAAACGCTCCATGCTCCCAACGAAGCTCTTCGTCAGGAGTTTGAGCAATTGAGATTTTATATCTCCTTGCAAAATAACAAGCTCAATCTTGTTAAGGCTTCCCACAACTGGCGGCCCAGATTTCAACCATCTTTCAGCCGATTTTCTCTAAACCCTCCAGAAGATCGTTGACGACAGCGATCCAACTCACCCTTGTGAGATTTTTCTTAAGTGAAGGCGCTAACTTAATAACTAGGAATACCAGTCCGTAGGTGAGGTTGTGTTGGGTTAGGGTGCCATTTAGACTAGTTTTGATCCAAGTTAGCGGACTACAAATTCCAGCGAGTGCTCGACACTATTTACCTCTTTGAGGTCCCTAGAGCAACGGTCATTTGCTTGGTAACCCCTTGACCCAGTAGGTAAGTATAACAACAGCGCTAATAAGAGTGCATCTAAGGGAAGTCCTCTGTTCAACCCAACCGGTTCAGATGTGTCTTGTCATCCGACATGTGGGTTCGCTAGTTCTGAGCAAATACTACGATTAATCACGACAATTGGAGGCACTTTGTAGCTACCTAGGCTGCCTAGAAACCAGAAAGGAAAGCACCCAAGTTTTTCAATTGTAATTATTTTCTAGTAGAAAATCACGTTAAGGCAATAAAGCCCGGGCCGAGAAATAAAAAATGGAGCTAATAATCCCTCGCCTTCATTTCGCGAGAAACTGATGAGTTCAGAGAGTTCATGGGCTGCTCTTGTTTTCTTCTTTAAAAACTGTTTCAATCTCATTCTTTTTCTCAAAACTGCTTCAATTTAATTCCTTTAGAAACACAACTCAACATCTTCCTTCTTTTCTTACAGGTTTGGTTCCAAAATCGACGCGCTAAGTGGCGAAAAACAGAAAAATGCTGGGGTCATAGCACCAAAATGGCCGAATATGGCCTCTACGGTGCCATGGTGCGACACTCGCTGCCGCTTCCCGAAACTATACTCAAATCAGCCAAAGACGATGAATCGGTAGCACCATGGCTGCTGGGCATGCACAAAAAGTCTCTCGAAGCCGCTGATATACTAAAATCAGACGAGAGTGATCGTGAAACACCCACCTCAGATGACACGAACACCTCCTACTCAGCGGGCAGCACACATAATTCACCGATTTCCTCCTTCTCCATATCGCGTCTGCTCTTCGACGCGCCATCAAAACACAAACGACACCACGACGTGGTGGGGAGCAGTGCTCTCGGTGGCGGCGGCGTCGGCCTAGATCTTGCCAACGGCACCATGAGTGGCCTCGCAGAGCAGGCGCATGCACAAGCGCATGCGCATGTCATGCAGCATCATCCCTACAATCAGCAACAGCATTTACAACATGTACAACATCTACAACAGTTGCATCAGCAACAATTGGCCGAACAGCATGCAGAGGCGCAACGAAGGCAACAAGCGCATCAACATCAGCAACAACTGTTGGCGGCGGAAGCGGAAATGCAACGCAGACGGCAGGAGGTGCACGAGCAGCGCGAACGCGAACGGGAAGCCGAAGCGGAGGCGGAAGAGGCGATGTGTGGTGATGATGATGACGATGATTGTGATAGGGAAGAGATTGATATTTGTGATGATGTTGACGATGATAAGGATATGAAAATGTTGCTGAGCGCCGAGAGTGCGGCGAAGCGGATTAAACAGGAAAGGGAGAGTAGCGCAGCAATGGCGCTAGAGAGTAGATGAAATTTGTGCATTGATGTGTTGTTGTAAGTTAGTTAGGGAGGGATCGATAGAGAGAGAGGGAGAAGAGGAAGAGGGGGAAGGGACAAAACTAGTAATTGAGTGAAGGGNCTTAATAAAAAATAACGCATTAATGCATGTTTTCTTCCCCTAAAAACTTGTTTCGCCGTTACTTATTATTAAAAGATTGTAAAGCATTAAATATCGATAGATTTGTAGTCATAAGCAATTTTCATTGTGATTTAAGTTAGTAATTTTTTATTTTTACTTTTTTTCGTAACCAGTGTTTGTAAAATTTTACGATTATTGATTAGAACGTTATATTAAAAACTTTAAGTAAAATTTGATAATATTATCAGAAACTTCTTAAGTCCAAAAGTGTTCTTTAATTATTATTTGTTTTAATGAATTGTAAGACGATGGATAAGCAAAAGAAATAAATTTAAATAAAATTGCATCAAGTAAAATCAAATTTAAAAAAGTAATTTTAAATAAAATAAAGCAAAATAAAAAAGTGAAAAAGAACAAAATAAAATGAAATAAATTAAATTAAAAAATAAAAATTAAGTAAAAAATTTAAAAATAGAGTGAAAAAAATACAAAATAAAATATAATAAACCAAAATAAAATAAATCAAATTAAAATAAAAATAAAACAAAAAATAATATAAAATAAAACAAAATGCAGTAAATTAAATTAAATTAAAATAAAATAAGAGAACAAAATAAAATAAAATAAGAGAACAAAATAAATTAAATTAAAAATTATGTAAAATAAATAATTTAAATTACGTTAACAAATCAAAATTAAATTAAATTAAAGTGATAATGATAACGAAAATAAAAATAAAATAAATCATATAAATTAACTAAAAATTAACGGAAATACGTTAAAATAAATTAAATTTTTTTTTTGTTTTATTTGTAACCCATCTCATTACGACAAAAGCTTTGTAAATATTTATATAAAATATGTATAAATAAGAATAAAAACTTACCCATGCATATATTCTACACAATATAATCTATAATATTGTAGCTTTAAACACTAATTATAAATTAATACAAAATGAAATTTAAAAAGCATATATTATTAAAAAGAGTCTAACGAAAAACCAAACGCACGAAATCAAATAAACAATGAATCTTTGGAATAAGTAAATTATGTATTGCATATAGTATACCTAGAAAATGATTAAACGAAATGTGGAATAAAAGATCTATACATACATACATACATGCCAATAAATTGAAAAAAATGTGTTTTCGTTTCTGGAAAAGGAGGTTTATACATACATATCTACATATTTATGTATCTCCACTGCCAGGACGACATACTGATATTGGGCTTATTGTCCAAGATGAGGAGCATTAGAGTAATAGAGGAAGACCAACGGCTATAAAATTAGTTTGGAACAACGTGAGGGACCAAAATGTTCAAAAGCCAGTATATTTCCAAACTTAACTTTGAGGTAAATGCAATTGTTTTAGTATTTAGGGTTTTTTACAACACTCGTTTTTTTTTTACTTTTATACCGTCTCATACAGCCTACCGCAAATAAAACCTTCATGACCACCCTAATTCTAATGTCAATGCGCATATCGCATTTCTTTCCATTCACGCATAATATAGTACACATTAAAATAAGCGCATAAAATCAATAAAATAAGCGAACAGTATTTCGACGTCTGAGTGAAAGATCGACCTATCTCGGCAGCCAGTTGGAAAACGCCCCATCTTAAAATTTGATTGAAGAAGATAATATAGGGGAGTTTTAATTATATTGCTATGTGGTATTTCTCTCACTCTTAATTTTATCAATGACACTCCCACTCTACGCCTAAAACTAAGAACAGTGATATTTATTTATTTTAAGCTGGTTTCAATTAAATAGTTGGATTTTTTTTTGTTACGTCTTTTTGCATTTCAGGTGACGATATACATACATATATACAAAACATATACATCAGCGTCCGGACTATGCTCCGATTGGAGCAGATTTACTCCAATTTTAACTTTTGTCAGCATTTGTATAGAAGGTGTAACAGAAGTTTTCTCTTTTACTCCTTAACATGCGGAATCACTTTTTATTTCCCACAGCGGGGGATTGATTAAGGACCAAAAAAATGTTTTGGAAAGGTGTAACTTCGTGCCACTTGGCAGAGTATATGTTGACGTTAGCTATTTTACCGCACAGTAGTGCTGCTGCAGAAAGAAAGTTTTCAGGGATGAATCTCATTAAACATAAAAACAGGAACTGGCTAAATGTCAAAACAGTTGAAAGTTAAACCAAAGGTCAGAAATTTATACGCCGTCTGAAAATTTATTAATTTTTTTTTAATTATAAATTTATTGATGGAATGTTTGTTTTGAATAAGGGCCGGTCGTTCAATGTCTGGTTATCACTACCACTACACTATCGATGATTTCGACATCATGCATGTAACATGTGATCGTTAAAGCAATCCTAGTAATTAACCGGAGCTCCTACCTCCGATTAGTGCAAATCAGACATTGAACAACCGGCCCTAAGTGTACACGTAATTAATGTAACGGATTAATATACCATTCGACCGGATACAGGTATAAAATAGTACCATAGTAACCCAATCTCGAAACCTACACTGCCTTATCTGCCAGTTGATAAGCTGTCGGCAACGCAGTTTCCGTCATTTTTGACATTCTTACTCCGAATTCGGTTATCACCCTGTACCAGGAGTACATTCCGATGATTTCCGGTAATGCATTCCAGAAAAATTGCAGCAAGTTTGACATTCCATTTTGAACCGACATCCTAATTTAATTGTTTTTTTTTTTTGGGTTTTGATGGTCTTAAATGGTCGGGGCAGTCCACCCACAAAACCAGGGTATACAAAAACTTTATAATGATTCTTCTTCCGTGTTTAATTTTCAGGTGTTGTTTAGACCAATTCCAACGTTTGATTTTTGCTATGATTGATGTGTGATTTCTCTGTTGTTTATGTTGCCAGCCGATTTTGATTTGTAGTAATGTCAGCTTCGCGCGAGTTGATTGATGAGATTTTTAAACGAATGCCCTGAGGGCTAGTACAGCAATACAAATATTGATGACAGTTGTTAAGACGATTACAACATGTAGCGATAAGGGCTAGGTATTAGCCCACTTCCGGTATGTGCAATGAGCGAAATGAACAGATTATTTTTAACAAAAAA